AGCTTCTGCTACAAGAGCAGAAAGATCACTGTGTTACAGTTGCTAATGACACTGGGAGAACTGTGTGAGGTCCCAAGGTACCTACTTTAAAGGGTCTGAGGTGTCACTGTCTTATGTACAATGTCTCTATCTTTTTAAATTTTTCTAGAGCTCTTTTAGGTTCACAGCAAAACTGACAAGGAGGCACAGATATTCCATATACACCTTCCCACACATGCACAGCCTTCTCATTATCAAGATTTCTCACCAGAGTGGTGCATTTGTTACAAGATGAACCTACATTGACTGTTTGCATAGACTTTTAAAAATAATTTATATTTCTCTATTGAGAGTCTGTTAATTCATTGTAATTACACTTTTCTTTAATTCTTCTTTTAAAAAAAGATTGTATTTATTTATTTTTAGACAGAGGGCAAGGGAGGGAGAAAGAGGAGAGAAACAGTGTGTGGTTGCCTCTCACGTGTCCCCTACTGGGGACCTGGCCTGCAACCCAGGCATGTGCCCTGACTGGGAACTGAACCAGTGACCCTGTGGTTCACAAGCTGGCACTCAATCCACTGAACTACACCAGCCAGGGCACTTTTCTTTAATTCTTTAAACATGTTTATAAGAGCTATTTTGAAGTGTCTTATTTTTTCCCTCTAAATTCAACATCTGGGTCCACTCAAACTTATGTTTTATTGGCTGCCTTTGGGGTTTTTCCATGGACCTGAAGTGGTTGCTATCAACCATGTCCCCCAATTTTGCTTTTTGCAGAGAGGAATTGACTGCCTCTTTATACTGCCACAACTGGAAGTTGCTCTTTTCACTCTTTATTAATGAAGAAAGTGAGGCTCAAAGAGATGAAGCAACTTGCCCTAGCTCATTCAGCCAGGAAGTGGGAGAATCAGAATTAAATTCATAGGCTCTATATTTAAAAAAATGTTTTATTGAAAAATAATTGACATACAATAGTTTATGCTTATTTAAATCAAACAATTTGATAAGTTTCAACATATACATTTGCCTATGAAACCATCTTCACCATCGAAATAAAGCTATCACTTTGTCTCCTTTTGTAATCCCTCCTGCCCTTCCCCATCCCTAGGCAACTACTGATCTCATTTCTGTCACTACAGTTTGCATTTCCTAGAATTTTGTGTAAATGAAATAATATAATATGTACTGTTTTGTCTCTTTTCACTCAGTGTAATTGAAATTAATCTAACACTGTAGTATGTACCAGTAGTTTAAATAGTATTCCATTGTATAGACATGCAAAAGTTTGAGTATCTAGTTATTAGTTGATGGGAATTTGTGTTGTTTCTAGATTAAGGTTATTACAAATAGCCTTCTGTGAACATTTGTAGACATATTTTTGTGTGGACATGTGCTTTCATTTCTCTTGGGCTATACCTCAGAATGGGATAGCTAGAGCATATGGAAAGTGTATGTTTAACATTTTGTATAAATTCTTAATTTAAAGATAATGTTACAGAACCAGCCAATAGTGTGCCAGAACAGTAGGGTTTGATTACTTGCCTCCAAGGGGCATGACTCCAGAGACAAGAGTTTGGTGAAAAAGGAATGGTTGTTTATTTAAAGGTTATACAGTTTTAGGGTAATGGTAGATTTCTGCTGTTAAGTCCCGCTCCCTTTAAAACGCCCCAAAACAAATGGCCCTGCCACCCTCTGCCAAGCCAGACCCATTTCAGAACATGCTACTTAAAAGTACCATCCTTCAGAAACACGGAAGTCTGCTGCTCAGCATTGCCGGTCATAGTTCTGCTCCAAGCATCTCTCACGAGTCATTGTGCACCTGCTGAGTCCTTTTTCACAGCGTCAATTTCTCTACTCTGGAGCCGCTTTTTCTCCAGCCATCAGCTCACCAGCGTGCTTGTGTGCTTGGCCAGGCAGGTTCCCCATAGCACTGCCAGCTCTGCTGCTGTCTTCTGTGTGGGAGGGGGGCTGAGGACATTTGCACACCAAATGGTCTTTGGGAACAGGCCAAATCTCAGGACTTTGGGTTCACTATGGCCTACTGGGCTAGCCAGGGGAAGGGCAAAAAACCTACGGATCTTGTGTGTTTCCCAGCACACTGCATTTTAAAGGCTCAGCTCAGAAATTCCTGCGCAACTGAACATCAGGCTCTTCCTACATACAGTGTGTTAGCATCTGCCATTTTTGTCAGCTCCCTGTTGTCTTTGACCCTCTTTTGGGTGCCATTTTTAGTAAGGGCAGAAGTTTTCCAGCTGCACACAGTGCATAAGCATCTGTTTGTCCAGGGTGGGGCATTGGGCCTCTGCAACTCACACAGGCATTGTATGAGCTTTTCCTTTCCCCACCCCACGGTATGTCATGAGTGGTCCTACTGCTGGCACATGCAGTCTCATTGCATTTGTTTACAGTTTGCTCCTGGCAGCAGCTGCCTTGCACAGCCCCACCCTTGGAAAGGCACAGGCTGCCCAGTTGCTATTTTAATATTCCATACTTGGGTCCCTTGCTTTTTCAGTGACCTCTGGTCCAAACTACCCTGTTACAATAGCACAGAGTTTTCTCACATTCCTGGCACTCATTTTCTCTTATTGTTAGCATCTTATCTTACTACCATACATTTGTCAAAGGGAAGAAACTGACACTGGTACATTACTATTAATTAAACTCCAGACTTTATTTAGGTTTCTCCAATTTTTCCACTAATGTCATCTTTGAGTCCCAGGACTCAGTCAGACCAGGGTACTACATGCATTTAGTTGTCACACATCCCCAGTCTCCTCTGGTCTGTGGCAGTTTCTAAGTTGTTCCTGTTTTGTTGTTGTTTTTTAAGATTTCATTTTATTTGTTTTTAGAGAGGGGGAGGGGAGGGGAAAGAGTGGGAGAGAAACATCATGTGAGAGAAACATCGATTGGTTTCCTCTCAAATGCCCCCAACCAGGGTCTAGGCCTGCCACCTGGGCATGTACCCTGAATGGGAATTGAGCCACAGGGACCTCTTGGTTTGGGGATGATGCCCAACCCACTGAGCCACACCAGCTGGATTCAACATTGCTCCGTTTATTCATGACCTTGGCAGTATGGTAAAATACTAGCCAGTTATCTTGTGGAATGTGATAGCACGTCCTCCAATCTGCATTTCTGATGTTTTTTCCTCCTTACTGAACTGGTTATGGGCATTGGGAAAAAATGTTGCAGGGGTGAAGCGCCTTCTCATCACATTATACTGGGCACATGATGTCCACGTGATATCTCTGGTGATGTTAGCTATCATTTGGTTAGGGCAATATTTACCAGTTTTCTCCATGTAAAGTTTATTTTCCTGCTTTCCCTAGTATTCACTGGGTCTTGCCTACCCTCAAAGGAGCAGGGAGATTTAGTTTAACCTCTTGCGTGGAGCAGGCATGTCTACACTTATTATTCAGAATTCTCCAAGGAATACTTGTGAATTTCTCATTTCTTTAGTCTTTTATCTACATCAGCATAGATTTGTATATATTTATTTTATACTTGGGTTATAATCCAATACTGAGTTATTCATTTTGTTCCTCAAATTGTTTCGGACTTGGCCTTTGGGGATTCTTTTAGGTTGGTTCCTATGTCCTTTGGACATGTTGCTATGCCTTTGCTTTCTTAACACTTCCTTAATTTCTGGAAATGCAAGATACCTCAAGTTCACCTTATGTTTCCCCTGCTTAGTCCTAGAATCAGTTATTTCTCTAAGGAGCTCTGGTTCCTTTTATTAGAGAGTGGTATTTTGAAGCCGGGATCTGAGAGCTAGGTGCATGCATTGCTGACTGTGGTGACATTACATACACACACACACACCGCTAAACATGCATTCACATGTATCTCTCACAAGGATCATTCTAGCCTTCCCCACAACAGAGAGAACCCGGGCTCTGTCTACACGCCAGCCACTTACTAGTCTAGTCAACCTCAGTACGTGTGTTCAGCTGTTCCAGAATTGCTATCCATCCCCCCTTGGGGAACACAGCGTTCATGTGTAGTTCCCTTTGTGTTTAGTCGTGTACTTACCAGTCGAAACAAGTTTTCCAAGGTTACTTAGGTTAGCTTCGTCCATCCAGTGGCCAGCTTTTGTAACAAGTGAAAGTCATGAAACAATTGCAGAGGATATGTCATTTCCAGTTGATGACCAGAGAAACTTCGATGTAGCTACGGGAATTATTGAATAGGATTCAGCAAAGCGGAAACAGGAAAAAAAAAGTCTTACCCTTTCTTCTACCTTTTTCTGTTAAAGGTAAAAGCGTACCCCTCCCAAGCAATACAGTGGGCTCAGCGCTTGCTAATACAGCACCATGGCCTTATCCTGCACTCTGTTTATGCTTAAAGCAGAATAGGCATCTTCAAATAACAAGATTATATTGGGAGGGTGGAGAAAACACCTACCCCTGTACTTGGTACCTGCCCTATCCCACCACACCTCCGGAACCTTGACACTCTTTAGCTATTTGACATTGTTTCCAGACCCTTCTCCCAGTGCCTCCCCCACGGCGAACGGGAGGTAGGAACTGAGAAGTCAGCACTACTATGTCGCTCCAGAGGGAGGAAGGGCTGGGCTGTCGCAGGCTTTGTGGGCTGCGGGCAGTGTTGGGGAGCTAGGCGCAGAGGGCAGTCTCTAGCTTTGATGGTCTGTGCAGGGCGTGCGAGGACCAGGAACAGCTAGGTGGTGCGGCCTACTGTCCTTGACCCGGCAGGATGCGCTTGTGCAGTAGGGCGGTGGGTGGAGGGCAGCAGTAGGGCTGTGAGACGCGCAGGCGCAGAAAGGCGGTGGGGGGGCAGCGGTAGCACGTGGCGGAAGGGGGACACGCAGGCGCAGTAGGGCAACAGGCAGAGGTCAGCAATAGCACGTGGGGGGCAACGCGCAGGCGCAGTGGGGCGGTGGGCAGCGGTGGCACGTGGCGGAAGGGGGCGCGCAGGCGTAGTGGGGCTGCGGCAGCATGCGGTTGGCGGGCGCGCGGCCGTTGGGAGTGGTGGGCCTGTGATATTCGGCCCTCCCTGGTGGCATGGGGCGGTTACGCTGGCAGGTGGTGGCGGTGGTGGCCGTGGGCCTCGCGCTCGCCCTGGAGGCGCTGCCCTCAGCCCTGCGTTGGTGGTGGGCCGGGCGGCGGCGGAGGCCACGGCACGAAGTTCTCTTCTTCCCCTCGCAAGTGACCTGCACCGAAGCCCTGCTGCGGGGGGCGGGCCCTGGGCCATCGGCACCCCCAGCAGGCTGCCGGTGCGGCCTGCCCCATGGCGAGAGCTCCCTGAGCCGCCTCTTGCGCGTCTTGCTGGCTGCCCGCGTGAGCCTGGAGCTTTGCCTCTTCGCTTTCTCCAGCCCGCAGCTGGGCCGGGCGGTGCAACTGTTGCACCAGCGCGGGGTGCGCGTCCGTGTCGTCACTGACTGCGACTACATGGCACTCAAAGGCTCGCAGATCGGCCTGCTTCGCAAGGCAGGTAGGCCAGATGCCCAGGCTGGGGTCGCAGGGCGGGAGGAAGACCTGATACCTAGGACCATAGGCAGAAGGGAGAATGTCAAAAGCAGATATTTGGGGACAGGGCCCTGAGTACAGGTGAGATCCCATTTATTACCCATGGGGGCTTTGTGAGGTCAGGGCAGTTTATTCCCGAGAAACGCCAGGGCCATCCATAAAGGGCTCCTGTCTCCACGTGGTGGGAGCGCTTTTGTGCAGGTGGGTGTCATGCCAGATATGAGAGTGTGAGCCGGTTGCATGTTCCCAGCCAGTGGAGGAAGATCTGGGAACTCCCAGAGGCCAGAGGTGTGCCCACGCACTCCCGGGAAGCAGACAGAGCCTCTGGGAGTCCCCGCATTCCCAAGACCCTCGTTGGCCTTGGGACCCAATAGGGAATGCTCATGCAGAGCTGGAGGTGTAGCCCAGCCCGGACAATTGCAGCCCAAAGTGAGGATGGCTTAGCCTGACAGTACTTAGGAGATGAGGGGGAGGCTAAGGATGAAGTCATGAGTCCCCCCACCAGCAGACTGTCTGTGCTTGCTCATCGGAGCAGGTGTACAAAGACTGCAACGGTCAGGCTTCAGGGTTGAAGGAAAAAAAGGCATTTCACCTTAAAGTACACTAGTGAATTTCATGCTCAGGGCTTCTGAAGTGAATAAAAATAATATTCTAAAAAGTGCAACTAAAATATTCAGTTGATGAACAGTTTGTTTCTGCAGCTGCAAAACACTTGAGAAGATCTATTTTTGGCCAGCTGACCTCTCTTTCTGGGGTGGGGGACAGATCAGATCCTGGTCTTACCTGTGAGTCCCTGGTCTCACCCTTCTACCTCTGTGTAATGCAGCATCCTGCAAGCAAGCTCTGGTCCTTGCGTTTTGTATGTTCAGTGCATGTCTCTTGACCTGCATACATCCTTTCCACCCTTCAATTCTGGTAGCCCAGTGACAGAAAGGCATGAAGAGCCCTTGAGAACTCTGCAGGCTTCCCTCTGGTCCCACGGTGCTCTGAGTCACACAAGCACAGGCATGATCTCCTGCGACCCGGGAGGCAGAGAAGTCTTTCCTGAGTCAGGCTCAGCTTGCCCGCTCTGCCTGGGGCTCTCCAGAGGTGGAAGCACTTTCATCCTCTGGTGCTGGTGGCATCCCGTGTAGGCAGAGCTGGAAACTCAGTTCACACAGTGAGGATATTCACTTCCACTCCTCTTGGCAGTCATGAGTTATCCTAAATCTGCTGAGCCTTTTAATGGGAAACTTAGGCATGACCCGTTTTATTTAGGTAGCTTTTAGAGAACTGCAAAATGTCAGGTTTGGAAAGAGCCTTAAAGGGCACTGCAACCAGCTCCCTCTAAAAGCTGATTCCTCTCTGAAGGCAATCCAGCCATTGTTCCTCCTCCATTTCTTCAACAAATACATCTGCATGACAGTGTTTGCCTGGCTTGGTTCCAGGTACCAGGGTCATGATGGTGAACAGGACCAGGACCCAGTAGGGAATCCAACCAAAGCATGAGTACTTAACAGTAGGAAGAGGGGCCAGGACATGTGAGAAAATGGTGTAGAGGAGTGACATGCCAGCAGAGCTCAGCAGTGTTGGAGGTGTCTGAGGGAGCCTCCTAGCTTGAGGAACAGCAAGTACAACTTCTGATTTCATAGCGAGATATCCCCTGGGGCAAAGGTTGAAATAGTAATGAGGACAGGTTGGCTTCGGGGACCCTGAATTCTCTCTGGCTGCCTCTCACCCAGGCCTGCTTTCTCCTCTGCTCCTCCCTCAGGCCCAGGCCCTCTCCTTACAGAGTTGGGTGCAGCTCCCAGCCTGGGGGTGTTTTCTAGGGCACCCAGTCCTGGGCAAAAGTGAGAGGCGAGGAAACCCCAGCCAATGATGTTTGCTCTGATGGCCTCCGGCCAGATGAATGACAGTGATGCTGGTTGGTCTGGCCTCCAGAGGTGTGGACAGGGTGTGGGGTGGGCTGTTCCCAGAGGAAACTGAGTAATTTAGGAGAGCCAGTATCTGCATGTCTACCGCGGTCCTTGCTGCCTTCAGGACCACCTGTCCCCTCCTGTGCCAGAATGCCCCTCAGCATCCCCACCTGTGAGCTGGTTGTGGCTGGTTACTGTCTGGCTCAGCCACTACCACCTGCCCAAGTGACAAGCTTCGCCCCTTTCCCACCAATTTGGAGAAAAATAGCAAAGTTTGTAGCTGCTAGCAAATGTCCCCCCTTGAGGAGGAGCTGAGCCCTGTGAGGGAGGGGTTGTGGAGGCAGTGGTGAGAGCCGACTTGCCCTTTTGCAGGTATTCAGGTGCGACATGACCAGGACCTGGGCTACATGCACCACAAGTTTGCAATCGTGGACAAGAAGGTGCTGATCACCGGCTCCCTCAACTGGACCACACAAGCCATTCAGAACAATAGAGAAAATGTTTTGATTATGGAGGATGAAGACTATGTAAGGCTTTTTCTGGAAGAATTTGAGCATATTTGGGAAGAGTTTAACCCTACAAAGTATACTTTTTTCCCACAAAAGAAGAGAAGTCACTGAAGCTGTGCTGTCACCTCTATCTTGAGTTGGAGGGGGAGAGGTGTTTAATGTCGCAGAACTTTTGTTACTACCAGTTGAAACCAGAGCAGACCTACAAGGAACAGGACCCGACTGGCTGGTGTCCACCCAGAGTTGCTGTGAGCTACAGTGGCAGATTCTGCATTCTGTTCAAGAGAGACCCCAACATTGTATAAAAGATTGTTCAGAATGAATCATCCTTCATTAAAATACTGAAGTGAACTAAAGAGAGTTTAGTGTTAAAAAGGAGAAGGAAATTTCTTTAGCATCAGGTCAGTTGTTCTGGACTAAACTTTGGTTTTTCCTTCCACCCAAAGTAAATGCAGCCACAGCTGCTTGTACTCTTGCAGGTACCTTGCCTGGTGCCTGGGTTGAGAACCGATGGCTTTCTCTCCTGCAGCCACACAAAAAAGGGGTGAGGCCTGTTTCAGGGTTGAAGACCGTCCGATCCCCTTTCCTGATTCTAGAGAATCTCCCCCTTCTTGGGTCGACTCCATCAGCTCAACCCTTTGGGTATGTCCAGAATCTCCCCTCTTTTCCAATTGAACTGGTCTGGTCCCTACCCAGCACAGCTGAACCCTGGGATTTGCTCAAGGTGGTTGACCCAGTGTTTTCATCCCTGCTGTTCATCAGCTCCTTGGGGGCTTACTGGCAGGTCTGAGTCAGAAGAAGGAAAGAAGAGGTTAGGAAGGAAAGCAGGTGACAGAAGAAAAAGCAGTGCTGGGCTGGCAGGGCAGGAAGCTGACTTCCAGGCCCCTCGTGGCCACTGCAGCAGGCATGCCGTTCTCTCACCCGGGCTTCTGGGCATGATTATGCTTTAAAACTAGCATGAGACATTCTTCATGCTTGGCAGCTTCTGTTCTCTTTTCATGTGGCTTGGTACGTCATCTGTCGGGAGGTTCAGAACCTGCTTCTTTTCTGTATGTTGTGCTTTTAATTTTTAAATATTCTCACATTCAAGGTAGTTTTGTTGTGTGTTTAGAAATGGCCTTCACTTTAATTACTGTGGACTTTGCTAAATCGCATCTTTTGGTCAGTGTAATCAACCATGAAATACCCAAAGAGGAGAATCCAGTTTCCTGTTATGGTACCTTACAGATCCACTTGTATTCTCAGCCCAGCGTTTTACATAGGTAATTAGAAGAGCAGGTACCTTACATACATTTGTGAAATAGTCCAATTTTTTTTTCAGAATACGTGTCTTTAGGTAGCTCAGATAAAATGCGAATGATTGTTCACCATCTTGTCATATTTTGTGTATACACTGTGCAGCTGTCCTGAGGTCTGTCTGGTGCTGTGTGGGTCTCCTTCCCACCACTGTCGACAGCCACTGGGAGAGACTGTTCAGTGTTGCATGTTTTTCCTTTTTAAAAGTTACCTTTGACTTATGGAGTTGGACATGTAAACTCAAAAGTTAATTTTTCTTATTTCTTGTGATCAGAAATCACAAGAAATGGTTTTACATTAAAAATGGTTTGTTTTTTTTTTTTGTTCGTTTTAATCTGAGTCTACTCCAGCAGGGTGTGTTCTGAAAAAGGGAGAGGCTGTAGACTGTCTCCTGAGTGATGAACCGTGTGGTTCTGAACTTCCCACACATCTGAATAAATGTTCTTATTCTGGAATGATAGTACTGTGTGTCCTTGCCTTTTACTCAGTCATTCAATTCATGGCTGCTCTTTATTAAACAAGTAAAACTTTTGGGGGGAGGAGGCAACATACAGCTACTTAGAAACTGTTGGTCAACATAGGAGTTTCTCAAAAGAGAGTAAACCCTGAAGGTGTTCCTTGAGGATGTCCTGAAGTGTTTCCAAACATACACACTGCTTCTGGTAGTTTCCAGCCTCAGCATGACTTGTGACAGTGGGCACATGTGCAGCATGCTCCCTCCATGCCTGGGTTTTCTTCCAGAAGCAGGCTGGCATTCCAGTGCATAGCACAGCATCAAATGCGTATGAGGTGATCTAGCCAAGTTATCTAGACTGCTGTTTTAAGAATTGTGAAATGATGTCATCTCATAATTTTTAACTTTATATTGTTTATCTTGTTTTCATCATCTCTGCAGTGATGGGGAGAGTTTTAGATTAATAGTAAACCTTTCTGAAAAGAACTTGCAATAGAAGAAAACCTCCTCGGAAGGCACAGGGGCTGCGGAATGCAGAAGGTCACGACTGAAATCTGCCTCTGAACTGGATGCTGTTTCGTGTCCACTTAGACAAGGTGTCTGCACAACATGGCTGGAGCCCCTGACTGTGGGCTGGCTGCACCCTGCTCTGACAGGAGAGATGTGGTGAGGCGTAGCCAGACTGGGACCAGGAGCTGACTCTGGCACATCTGGTCTGCCCGGTGAGCTGGCGGAGTCCACATCAGGTTTCAGGGGCTGTAAAAGCAAATGAACTAGGTAGTTAATCTTTAGTTGATTCGGGAGATACTTGGGGCCCAGTAAGTGGTTTTGCACTGAGCAGCAGTTATTTGGGGGCTAGTCCAGCCCTGGGCAGTCATTGAAAAGATCCCTGGGACAGTGGGCATACCCTGTCTCTGACCTCCTGCAGGTATGGCTGAGTGTGGAGTGGAGCCCAGCTGCGTGGTGGCGTGCGTCTTCTGAAGCTACTCTCTTTGCTGCAAGGTTCAATCTCTGGCACCCCTAGAGAAACTTTTTATTTTATTTTTAATCATATTTTGTTTATGCTATTACAGCTGTCCCCCTGGAGAAACTTTAGAAGAAGTGATTTCCCCTGGGGAAGCTTGGCAATTACTTCATGGGAGGAGTCAAGCGCACTTCCCCCACTGCATAGACTGAGTCAGCATCCTGGTTTCAGCTCAGGGTTGTCATTTAAACTGTGGGGCAGTGATACAGCTTAACAACAAACCTGATACGCAGAGTGATTCACATTGGCACAATTAAGTTTAAAATCTTTTAAACTCTTGCAACTCTTGTGATTGAAAAAACATTGTCATGACAGTGGTACACAGCCTTCACAGTCTACCAGTAACCATCACAAGAGTATTTGAATGAACAAACACAACTATCATATTTTGCCATGTATAATGTGTACCCACGTTTTTGTGCACATTATACATGGGATTATTATACCCGTGGCAGGTACTCCTTATACTCATGTATAATGCATATCCTTATTTTTCCCTGAAAAATCTGGGAAAAGAGTATACAAAAAAGTACATGGCAAAATACAGTATATTGTATTTTGTTTTATTTTTAAACATCTTATATTTTCTCCATTACCATTTAGTCCCCTTATTCCTCCCTCCCCTGACAATCACCACACTGTTGTTCATGGCCATGAGTCCTCTTTTCCATTTGCTTGATCCCTCCACCCCCTAATTCACCCACCCACTAGCTGTCATCTGCTCTTCATCTATGAGTCTGTCCCCATTTTACTTCTTAGTTTGTTCATTAGATTCCACATATGAGTGAAATCATATGGTATTTGTCTTTCTCTGAATGGCTTGTTTCACTTAACATAATGAATGTTAACTCGAGGTCCATTCATACTGTTGCAAAGGGTAAAAATTTCTTCTTTTTTTTTACAGCCAAGTAGAATTCCATTGTTTAAATATAATTGTTTTATCCACTCATCTATTGATGGATGCTGGGGCTGCCTCCATATTTTGGTGATTGTAAATAACACTGCAGTGAACATAGGGGTGCTAATGTTCTTTCAGATTAGTGTTTTGGTTTCCTTTGGCTATATTCCCAGAAGTGGGATTGCTGGGTAAAAAGGCAGATGCATTTTTAATTTTTTGAAGTATTTCCATACTGCTTTCCACAGTGGCTGCACCAGTCTGCATTCCTACCAACAGTGCAGAAGTGTTCCCTTTTATTCACATCCTCACTAGCACTTGTTGATTTATTGATAGCCATTCTGAGAAGTGTGAGATGGTATCTCATTGTGGTTTTTTATTTGCAGTTCTCTGATGATTAGTGATGTTGAGCATCTTTTCATATGTCTATTGACCATCTGTGTGTCCTCTTTGGGGAAGTGTCTGTTCAGGTCCTTTGCCCATTTAAAAAAATACTTATTTTTAGAGAGAGGGAGGGGAAAAAGAAAGGGAGAGAAACATCCATGTGTGGGTGGTTGCCTCTAGTGTGCCCCCTACTGGGGACCTGGCTCACAACCCAGACATGTGTCCTGACTGGGAATTGAACCAGTGACCCTTTAGTTTACAGGCTGGTGCTCAATCCATTAAGCCACACCAACTGGGGTTTTTTGCCCATATTTTAATTGTTTGTTTTTGTGTGTGTGTGTGTGTGTTGATTTTTATAACTATTTTATAAATTTTGTATATTAACCCCTTATCAGAGTGTCAGTGAGTATGTTCTCCCATTCTGTGGTTTGTCTTTTTATTTTGTTGATGATTTCCTTTGCTGTGCAAAAACTTCTCAGTTTGATGAAGTCCTATTCATTTTTTCTTTTGTTTCCCTTTCCTGGGGAGATATATCTGATAAAAATTTCTATGAGCAATGTCTGAGATTTTGCTGCCTGTGTTTTCTTCTAGGATTTTTATGTTTCAGGTCTAACATTTAAGTCTTTGATCCATTTTGAATTTATTCTTGTGTGTGGTGTAAGGTGTCTAGTTTCACTTTTCTGCATGTATCTGTCCAGTTTTCCCGGTATCATTTATTGAATAAACTATCTTTAGTTCATTGTATGTGCTTACTTCCTCTATCAACTATTAAGTGACTATAAAAATGTGGGTTACTTCTGGGCTTTCTGTTCTGTTCCATTGATCTTTGTGTTAGTTTTTATGTCAGTGCCGGGCTGTTTTGATTACTGTAGGCTTGTAGTATAGTTTGATATTAGGTAGCATGATTCCTCCATCTTTGTTCTTTTTCAGGATCACTGTTGCTATGTGGAGTCTTTTGTGGTTCCATATAAATTTTGAAATGTTCCAGTTCTTTGAGACACGTCATTGCAATCTTGATAGGAATTGTGTTGAATCTATAGATTGCTTTGGTAGTGTGG